AGCTCCCTTGTGTGATGCCAGTGTCCTTGACACACTCTCCCCTCCCATAATGGACTCATTGTCATTCCATCCACACTCAAGGTGGAAACTTTCTCAAGTGGTCTCTCTCTCTCGCTCTCTCTCTCTCCGCCACCTTTTTGTGTCTCTTTCAGTTCCTCTCTCTTGCTTTTGCACTCCATTTCCATCACTCGCTGTTGTATCTTTTTTTATTCTTGTGCAGGCGGGTGCACGCAAACACCCGAAACTTCTGACTTTTCCTCCCTTTTAATTTACTTTCTCCCCCTGCCGTTCTTGCTCCTGCCGCTAAGGTTGCGCATAGACCACCTGCTGCAAGACAAACACACACTCATACACACTCAGACATTACATTACCCAACTGTGGGCATATGCGTGAGCTTTTTTTGTCCGCATGATCAAGCAATACCCAAGCTTTAGCCCAAAGCAAACAGCCCTGTTTAAGATGCAAAGGATACAACAGCGCAGGTATTAGAGGGAGGATACGAACTGGTGGAACTAATAAGCCTCAAGCTCGATTGCCCTCTCTCTCTCTCTACTTTTGCTCTCCTTTCCTCATTCTGTCTCTCTCTTCTCTTGCAGCCAATTTATTAAAAGTCAGCTTATCTTTCAAGGTGTTTGATCGGGGGAATGAGAAGAGGGGATTGCAAATAGACAGAAAAGGCTAGGAAGCCGGTCATTTTATGAAAATTGTCTCAGAAGTGTCACAGAACCTCGTAATCAAACTGGAAACTTTCATTAAACAGTCATTACAAATGTGTACCATCCTCACTTCACCCCTCATAATGAAAAAAAACCCAGCTGAGTGTTTCAAATACAATTTGAAAAAACAGACAAATGATCTGCTGTTCAGACAGACAATATCAAGGTAGACATGTTTGAAACTAACTGTACAGAAAATGGTCAATTTAGAGTCTGACCAAGTGATCTTTTATTGTTAAAACTGACTTTGTAGGTACACTTGCTAAGTCTAGTCTAACTGCTAAGCTCAACTACAATTTCCTCAAAGTAGTACCAATATGTCCTCTGCACATATAAAGTAATCTGGGGTAGGTAGGGGTAGAAATAATGCTTGGAAAGTGTCGTTGCCAGGGATCAAGTCTCAACTCATACCTTATATTACCTGTGCCAGTGTGTTCACTTTAGGTTTATATTTCAATTATTTTAGTTTGTAGTTTTAGTTTTTTTTCTCATTTGTGCGTGATTCAATTCTGACCTTGAATCCTGGCTGATTTAGTTTCCAAACAAGAACTCTGTCATTTAAGTAGTTTTCCTGAGTTTAGCTGGCCCCAAACTTTATTCCCTTATTCAATGTGTCCTTCACAGGGCGACATCATTTGTCTGTGCCTTCCAAAAACCCACTGTTTGAAATGAAATCTGTTTTACATGTGACAAAGCTGTGGTTAAGGTCTGGTTATACTGTTACTTTGTTCAGGTTAGGAGACCTTCGTTGTCATGGTTACAGTAATAGACGTGGATAAGGTTATGGAACAATCACCTGACTTACTCCTTTGCTCCCGTCATTATTATCAAAACTGTACTACATGTATTATATAACTAACGATTATATACATATTTGATATCCACAAGTTACAGGCCTAACATGCCACGTGATGAAGGAACATGCAATAATCTTTTCTGTACAGTCGACAACATTTGTTGGCAGATCAGAGTTTCTGACACGGATGAGGACAGTTGTTGGACAGAATGAGCCGATTTACCCAAAACTTATAAACAGAATTTATTTATTTGACTTGATATCATAAGACAATCCTGTAACATTATATAGTATAATTAGATCAATGCTGCACACTGTTTGGTTGGCTGAAATGACTTAAATCAAGTATAAAAAACATTATGAGGAGAATAGTTACTCAAGAAATTCTTTTGTGCATATTAACAGCAACATTTGAGTTTGAGTCCTTGCCTGACTATATGAGAATGACACCTTTTAGTATTTTATATAACATGGGGCACGGCTGATTGCTGTTGATATGCACCAGGGAACAAATCTCTGATGTTATTTAATAAAAAAAATTTATGTTTATTGCAATTTCTATATAAACCCCCTTGCCTTTGAAAATGGAAATATAAATACAGACTCAAATTTACTTGACAGCTTCACAACTCTCTTTAAGGCCTTTCATTTTTTTGTCCTGGTAATTATTCCGACTGCATCTTCCATCTAGTAACTGCAAAGCTCGTTCCTGCTCCTCCTGTTTTCAGTGTCACGCTCCAGCATTGAGTCAAAGTTAATCGGCTTTATTGTGCATTTCTATTGCGCTGCAGAGCTTGGCATGAGCAAAAAAAGATAATGTGTGTTTATGAGCTCCAATCTTCTAAATTTGTATTAGATGGCTTAATTGGGGCAATATCTTAAGGAAATCTTGTAGTGCTTTTGCACCCAAGGGAACACAGTGTATTTTGCCACACTGCAAGATATTTTGTAAAGCAAGGGGAGCTTCTACAGAAATGGTTGAGGTGGCAGGGCAGCTCGGATTGAAATGTTAACAAATTTTTCATTCCAGTTCCCAAGGTGCCGGTTCACACAGTGCTGAAGGAACTTTTAATTACATTCACGACTCGCAGCGGAATGACTAATGAGAATTTTAGGCTTTGTGGATCGTTGCCATTATTTTTTTTAATTCACTCCTCGTGTATTCCACTTAATTGTACCCAGCTTCCCCGTCAGTGGTTGAGCTCAACTTGTAATATATGTGAGCGAGTCCAGTGCATTTATTTGAATATGTGGGGTGTTTAGGTCCTTTAGGGTATGTTTTGGGTGAAAAGCTAATAGAGCATATGGTAAATCTCCCTATTTAAAGATTCCTTCCAAGTATGCTGTCGGCTGCTGAGCGCATTTTCAGGAGTCATGTGGTTACAAACATTCTTAAAAGGAGAATTCAGGGTTTTGTTGAGCAAATAGTCTGAGCTGTTTCGAGGGGTAAACCAACCTAAAGTCATGCTGGGACGTTCCATTTTACTCTTGCTTCTCTGAATATGTGATTGCTTTGATCGTGTTAATTATGGGAACTAGCTGGAGGTCAAACTTTAAATTTTCTGCTACCAAACTGAGTAAGGTTGACACACATCTCAAGGTTTCAGTGTTTGTGTGATTCAGTCAGTTCTGGCCCCATACACCGTTGTCGCCATGGTAACGCTTTTTCTTCCTATCTCTCGCTGCCATGTAACCACCTTGCACCTGTCTGGAGCGCGTCTTGGGAGGTCTTATCTGGTTTTGACTTTGTCATTCTTCACTCGGCAGCGTTTGGGGAGGGATGAATTCACAATGACTGAAAAGCTGCAAACAGGAAACACAAGCCAGCTTTTCAAGACAGGCATGTTTTTCTTCTGCTGACAATTTGTGAAGCCGCAGAGGAAAATGCAATGGGAGTTGGTGGTGTTGGTAGGAATACAAGAGCTACCTGTATCGGGTCTCACACCTGGGTTCTTGGCATTAAAAGATGCACTTTAAGACTGGCACATTATACCTGGCACAAATGTCAGATCAATTGTATATATTGTAGCACTATTGACTGTGCTAACCCCCTTACACTGAGCAGGGACTGTCCAATCCTAGTTTAGCAAACATAAAGGCACTATCAAAGTCTTTATACTTTTTTAAGCAGTGCGCGAGCAATATTTAATTCGTTTGGATGGACGTGTCTTTTTCCAACATGTTCAAAAAACAAAACACAAGAACAAAAGGAATGTGATTCCCTACTCTAACATTAGCTGTAATTAGCCCGTCTGGCTAACTAGCTTACCCCCTGCAGTAGTAACTGAGCATTACTTCCAAAGCCAAGGGGCACAACATCAATCATCAAGTCATCGACTAGTTAGCTAGTTAGTTAGCTAGCTGAGCCAGATGTGAACAAATTATGTTAAAAAACTGTTCCCAACTACCTTATAAACTGTGTTTCCCCATAGATTTTAGGGTACATGTAGCTTTAGTCCATGTAGCCTTCAAGTACATATTTTTACATATTTTTGTTTGAAAATTATTCCACTAGAGTCAGCAACTCATGGAGCCAATGTTAGCTCAAGTAGTTAGCGAGCTACAGCTTATTTGTCAGCGACAGTTGACTGTCACTTCATCCAGCAAATTGACGGTTGTCAGCTAGAAAAGAGAAGCCGTGTTTTGTCTCTGTCTGAAATCAAGGACCCATTGTTTTAAAAATGACAAAATTACTGCATATGTTTTGTTTGAGAATGAAGAGATTGACATGGGTAGCAACAGGGGTGTGGGCCTTTGTCAACTGTCATTTCCACCATGTCTGGGTACTATGTACGTTATCATTAATTGTCTCAGCTCATCTCAAAAAGGTACTCAAATTTACTTCACGTCGTTCCTTTTTGCTTATACATCAATTTTCACACACTTCCCTGTCTCAGTAATCCATCCTCTTCTGTTTTTGTCCTTGTCTTGTTTCTTAGAAAGAAGGCACCTCAGATCTAGCTAGAGACTTGGTTTCTTTCTGTTTGTTCTTTCGGCACAATGGGGACCTGTGAGGAAAAGTGCTTTCTTTGCTCTTTGAGTCCAGAGGGCCCCATCAAACTTCAGGTGCACGTAGAGGAGGGGTGGAGGTAGTCTGTTTCATAAATCTCACTTCACTCTCTCTTTTATCCTTCCCAGTAATAATTTTCATCAGAATATGCATTCTTCCTTTGTCTCTGTATCAGCAGATTTAATGAATTTAACACCTTACAAGAAGAACAATCACATTACTTATTTTTGGAAATAAGGAAGAAATGAGAAGCTAATTTCACTCCTCTGAAACTTAATTTAAGAAAAATAACTTAACGGACACAAAAAACTATTTCTGTCTCTTTGAGATGATTTATTTTGTGTTTCACTGCAGTTAATGATGGCAAACCAGGAGCAGTGATTCCGCAGTGATAACACAAAACCTCATCCTGATGTATTCTGCTGTTTTAAAAAGTTGGAATCATCTAAGCTCAAAAGAAAGACAGTGGCTACTCACACATTGAAGAGGTTGAGGCCAATGCGATAGAGGCGTTTTCGCATGACGTCAGTGGACAGCGTGGGAGATTTACAGCTGGCGGGGTTCTCACAGTGGTAGCGTGGCAGGCTGAGGATCATGGCCTGCAGTGCTTCCTTGGACGAGGCTTCAGATGTGGAGCGTGCCTCTGTTGATGTGCTGCTGCTGCTCATCTGCTCTGAGCTGTTGTCTGCTATCTCGGAGCCACACCTATTGACCTCCAGCGGCTCTACCACGGGCGAGCTCCTCAGCAGTACAGCCTCCTGTGGTGGAGGAATGTAAGAGGGTTCTGTGGGTGGTAGTGTCACCACCACAATCTCCTCTGGGCTTTGAGGAGCAGCCATCTTATCCAGAGGGGTAAGGAGGGTTTGCTCCTCCTCCCCCAGCTCTTCTTCACTTGGAGGAGGAGCAGGGAATTCAACATCCTGCTCATCTCCTTCTATTTCTGATTCTGGTGGTGGTGGGGGTTCTTGTGGGGGCGGTGGGGGATCTATGGGTTCAGCCGGGACCTCTGCAGGAGGAGGAGGGGGGTCTTGCGAGGGGACAGAAGGAATAGAAGCTGGAGTGGAGTTTGTTGTTGTGAAAGTGGGTGTAACAGAGGTGTAGGCTCCTTCTTGTTGGACACTGCCGAGGGTGACAGAAGTGGATGATTCCAGGACTGAAGATGAGACACGGAAGTTCTGGCTATCGATCTGTACTGTCACATCCCGGAACGCCATCATAAGCTTGCTCGCGCTTCTTGACAGGTCACTCGGGTCCACTGGGCCTTGAGGAATAGTTGACTCTCCCACACCACCTCCCTCTCCTCCTCCTCCTCCTCCACCTCCCACTCCTGCTGCTGCTGCTGCTGCTGCTGCTGCTGCACTGAAGGAGTCGGCACTGAACTGATAAGTGCCGCCTTCTTGCAGTGAGCACATGGTCTTCAGGCTCCAGTTGCTGAGTGCATCGTCTATGGACTTTGCCAGTGACTGGACCTGTTCAGTGAATGAGTCTTCCAGGTCGGTCAGGGTGCCACCAACTGTGGTGGGCAGAGATGGTGAGCGCACCAATGGGATGCCTGCCAAGTTGTAGCCTTCTGCCAGGGCCCGTTCAGCGGAGAAACCTTCCGTGTTTTGGACACGGACCTTGCGCAGGGAGATGCGTCGAGGAAGACGACTCTCAAGCAGCGAATTGCGGATCTTCTCAAAGTTCTTGCTGAGCTGGTACTGGCGGAAGGCAGTCTGGATCTTGCAGGCAGCGCGGCGGGAGATGAGGTGGCCACCGTATTTGAGCTCTAACATTTCGATCTATAAAATAGAAGAGAGGATACAAAGGGCAAAAATGAATTGCTGGAATTTCTGTACATCACCAATTCATTACATCAGGACAACTTGCAATTACTGATAAACACAACTGTCAGGACTCAAATATGACAGTCATAGCTGCATGTTGATTAGAAATTGATGAACAAACACAGATACACACAGATAGGTAAGGATAGGTAAAAACATTGGCATGGGCTCCTTATCTGTGACAACCATAATCCCCAATAACACAGACATCTGTATTTGGTTAGGGAGCATGCACGCCATGTCACTACCAGCGTTTAAACATTTTTAATATTCTCTTGCCTGTGGAGCATGGAAGATGATTATGGTATATGGGTTGAATAGCGGTGTGAAAAACCAGGTGGAGCGTTGGTGGAAAATAAATGAGCTGGACATTAAAAGAGGAATGAGATAATTGTGGTATGAAAAGAAAAATAAATGAAAATCCCAGGAGATGAAAAGGGTTGTAAAGTCCAACTTCTGGAAGGAGTAGGCAAAATTCAAATATTAAAGTACTCCAAATTCAAATAATAATATCCTCAGATGGTTCAGTAATTCTATTTTGCAAGCAGGCTTTGTAATGTGTGTACTGAAACTATATACAGCAGTTTGGTCAAAGCCACAGTTTGGAAAGGAGAGCACAGTAAAGGCTGACTCATGGCATTTGGACAAACTGTTAATTTCCTCAGCAAATAGAACTCATAATCTCTGCGAATTCCATAGAGAGGTCCTCCACGCAACTTTAAATTGTCTGAAACTGAACAAGCCATTAATCTTGCCTGTGAAAAATTGCTCAAATGCTGTGGGAACTAGATAGAGACGTTATATAGCCGCACTCATCTGGCAGCAGCTCAAACACCAGATGAGACCTCTTTGAGTTTCCCAGAACAATCAGGGTGTGGGTATCTTTGGAAGTGCCCAGAAAGAGCTCTTATCTTTTTGAGTCACTCTGAAATCCTTTTCATTCAGACTAAATCAATGAATATAATTCTGTTTCTGTTCTAACTTATTCAAGGGCACGAGTGTGGAGGAGGATTCAGCTTTGAAAAGAATAGCAGTGTCACATTCTGTCACTTTACAAATATGAATAAATGTACACGTTCTAAATATACTGCACAGAAGGTGCACATTAAAAATAGCATGGCATTTAATTCTAGGGAAAAGAAATCCTTGCTTTTCCCTCCCTCAGTGTTTTCTTTAGAAGCTGGCTTCTTGTATCAGGGTGATGAAACATGAGGATTAATTTGGTTCAAGTAAAATATCCGCCCTGTAAATGCAATTGAACGAATGGTTAGCATGGGCACGAAGGATCAAAATTTGACTTTTTGGCCGCTAATCTCCTTTCGCTTTAGTCCTGGACAAAGTCACCCAACCACCCTGTACGGTCTCCTGATATGCTGTAATGCCTCAAAGGTTTGCAATTTGTGATAAGTGGTTAGTTCAACAAGATGCAGCCTCTGCCGTTGTCACTGGAGGAATGGAATCACATACAAAGCTCTTTAGAAAAGTGAAATGACACTGAAAATCCATCTTATCTACTCCATTTACATTTCGCTGCAGAGCCTCAGCAGGCAAAGTGAGACATACTGAAAATATTAAGGTGGTTTCTGAATAGGACGGCGGTTTGGAGCTCTACTGTATCTGCTGACGGCCACTTCTCAGTAGCTGTCAGCTCTTGCAGACTTGTCAAACTCAGCCTGAATATTCATCACTTTTTAATCTGGATTGTTCTGTGACTGCGCTGTGTGCACTCTTGAAATGACAAGGTTAGCCTTATCGTCATGACTGCACTCCAAAATAGACCTTGTCTAGGGTTTGTTTCGTTTTTTAAGTTAGACGCAGAGGTAATATGATTGACCTCATTACTCAGAAAGGTGTCCTTCATCAGACAAATTCTGCAACGAGTTCCACTGCAGAGGTGCCCTTGAATGTGAGAAAGGGCCGTCAGTGTGGCTGCGTTTGATTAAATGTGGCAGTCGAGCTTGTTTGTTTTGCCTTCTGCGTAAGCCGGGTCGGGGATGATGAATAAAGCATTTGGGTCACGTTGCTTTCTTTATCAGAGTGAGTATCTGATATACTTTGCCATTCAGATGGAATTACAGCCACCAGGAAGAGCTGGGACATGATGTATAGTGGAAGGAAGCATGAAGAGATGGAAGAAAGTAAGAAAAGAACACAGGATTTGATGCCAATCGAGCAAGCATTGTGTTGGGGCTAGAGATGTGCCGGTATACCAAAGTGTGCTTAAACACTCTCAATACAAGCAACTTCTTTAATTACTGTGATTATCAACATTCAAAACCTCCAAATTCCAACGGACAGACGACCAGGCTGATTGTGTACTTGGCTTTAGCTGCTCTGTCAAAGACCAGCTACCAGCTAACATTATCTAGTAGACCTACTTTATGGGTTGCTAGATTGAGAGCATGCATCTTACATGACCAACAAAGAGGAAAGCTGTATATTAGATGGCACATATTGCATTCTTCCTCATGGTTTAGCTTCAACTCTGTCTGTATTTGTTAGTAGTGAGTTAGTAGTTAGTGCTGCAGCCAAGAACAAAACTATGAGGGCGGTGAGTGAAAAGAGTGAAGTTGGGGACCAGACAACCAAACCATACATTTTAAGTAATGTCCAGTTAAACTTAAAAACACAAATACAACAACAATACTATCTTCTCCTCCTAGGGGAAAGCTGGACTTCGAGCCTAAAGGTACATCGTGTTAATACTGTGATATTTATCGCCACAATAATCGTGGCATGAAAATTTGATACCGGCACATCCTAGTTGGGACCTGACTACCGCTTAGAGAGCTTAGCATCTATTCTACAGGGGGGAAAAGAAACAGCAAAAAGATGGATGAACAGAGCACTGAAGAAACACGAAAACAAGTGGCTCAGGGTATTGCGGAGGAGGCAAGATATAGAAAGAGGTGGCGAGACGGATGACCGCGCCAAGAGTGGCACTGCTGAAAATCCCCCCCCCCCATTAACCGACTGTCAGTTCTACCTCTGATCACTTCACTAAGCGCTGATGGAGAGAGATTATTCCGGAGACGCAGTGCTTTGAGAGAACGGTGATGGCACTGCTCCGTTCCACAAGGGTGTCTAAATCGATTTTGATGGGCAGATCAGCACCATGCTGACCTCATGTTCCCCTTTCAATGAGGGGGAAAACAGGTGGAAAACAAACCAGTGCAAAGTGGCACAGCACTGCCATTCTACATGGAGAACTAACACTGAGTGGAAAAGGTGCAAGTGTATAAATGGGACATGTAAATATTTAAAGTCAAGGACATAAAATGAAGTATTCATTTCTTTCATGTGTATATGAGTATAGGAAATTTTAGAAAATAGAAATAATAAAAAAATGTACACATAAGCTCAAATGCAGTAATTTAAAAAAAAATATCTTCCAGTTGCAAGAGCAAAGGCTGATTTTCAGCATGATGTTGGCTTGAAATATGGGACTTTCTCTGTCTATATATAAACTATTAAGAGGCTTTGGAAAAGGAATGTGTTTTAGTCTGGAAATGTTTGCGCAGCAAATACAAACGTGTCTCAGAACTAAAGGTCAACCAGAAGTACAATACACAGCATGGTTTTTTTTGTGATTTTGAGAGGCAGATTTTGGTATTTAGCGTCATGAGCCATGATTATTACACCCTCTCTCTTCCTTTGAGCATTATAAGAGATTTTCCTAAGATAACCTGGCATTACACGTCTGCTTTAACCTTCTGCTTAGCAATGCTAAAGCTGGATGACACATTTTACTTGTGACACCTTTAAGGACCCCGTTAACCGATAGAAGTCTACGAAATTTAGATTTTAGAGTTCAGTATTTCTCCATGCATGAGCTACAATAGCAGGCACAGTGAGTATGGGATGTTAGTACTAACATTGTATTTAAAATTACAGTGTGTGGGGAATCGGTTTGGTTAATTGTTAGGGAGTCCAACCAATTGAAAGCAATTTTTCAACATTTTGGGAAATATGCTTATTTGCTTTCTATGACAATGTTTTTTTTAATGTTGTTAACATTGATGTTTTGAAGTTTTACAGGACAGCAACAATATGTTAAAAATGTTCAATTTGTGAAATGTCAATACCAGTCATAAAGCCCTCTCTGTTAATTTATCAGTTTAGCCCCAAATCAATCACTATTAGATTCCATGGGTCTCCTCTTTAAATGTGCAAGAAAAGACTGATGTGTGTAAGTAAAACAGCAGATAATCGGATATCATGTGCTGCAGAAATAAGGGGCAAAATGCAAAGCCATGATTATTAGCTTTCAAGCTCATGCACACTGTCTTACAGCACAGAAACATCTGCATGATTAATGAGATGATTATATAAGCGCAAAACTGGGACACAACTAATGCTGACTGTATTACAAAATGAGGATGACAATAAAAGACTTGATGTCATCTGAAGATGGGGATCCGTTAAGCTGATTCATCCTTGACCAAAGTCAGTTACCGCAAAAGGTCAGTGGTTACTGGAAGACTCACTCTGACGCACACAAAAACCAGGAATTAATGAAAAAATTGGATGATATTGACAGTCAAAGTCGAAAAAAAATTAGATGAGATGATACATTTTCACTTTTCTCAGCAGCGACCTACTGTACAATGTCATTAGATTTGCTCATCCATCCCTTTGCATCAGCAGTTTTAAGACAAGCAACTATTGAACTTCTTGTAACAGAAAAGACGTTTTGAACGATAGCCCTTTTCTTATATTCATGCACTTGTGCATTTGAGTTTAATTATGAGTGAATACAAGCCATCAAATTTAACCTTTTACTGTTAAATGCTTCGCTTAATGGAGATTAGCTTTTTGATTTATTTACTCGAGTGGAGATTTGCAGCAATTACAGAGCAGAAGTAGTCGTTTAAAATCGGGACTCATCCCCTATCACTTCATCATCCTGTAAAACGAAAGGCTTCGCAGTCAGCAAAGACAGAGGCCTCTCCATTTGATGAACAACTTTTTGGTCAATTTGTCAGTGCTATATAAACAGGGGGAAACCAGTGTTGTGTTCCTAAAGCTTTGGCTGAGAGAGTGTAAATTGACTCAGAGCAAATGAAAATGCAGATGAGTCTGAGAAACACTGTGTCACCTAAAAACAATTTAAAAAGGAATTCAAATGATCTTGAGATGACGTTAGTTGGCGTTAAGACTAACCTGAGTGACCCCGGTGGCAGTGGGTTTGTGGGCTGCTAATTTTTTGCTAAATTTGTCAATTCACAACAAACAACAATATACCAGTACCAGAGACCGGCAGGATTTTCATGCAAAAGCTGTGCTGATTTTGCTTATGTAGTGTATATGGGGTGGTCACATGGTGAAAATGTTTCTCTGAATTCGTTGCGTGCTCATTCTGAACCTTTCATTGTTGTGTCTCTGCTGTGGCCTCTATAAGTCACATAATTGTTAACATGAACAACTCTCTTTATCATATGTGTTGCAGCTGGTGATGCAAAACCTTTTTTTAGTATTGCCTGTAAGTTTGTATTACAAACTGTAAGATACATTACTGAATGGCAACTTAACAGAAACAAGTTAAGATATTGATATTGATCTAAATCATCGGAAGTCCTTTTGTGAGACTTTCTTGGAATAACTTTGGTGTTCTTATAAACAGTCATACTGATTAACATTTAATATTATTTTGCAAACTTCTACTATTTGTCATCCTAGAAAATAACATAAATTCTAATTCTCAACTGTATCTTTCTAAATTTCATATTTACAAATTCAAATTTACAGGTATAAAGCCTAACTTCTTAATTTTCACATAGCAGCTCAAAGAGTACACTCACTCCAGTTCCTTTTCTATTATTCCTGAGGCTGTAAAAATAATTTATTTTTTACTTAATTATTTAATTTGAAATTAATTATAACTCCTACTGGCTAGAGTTTTTTTTTTTTAAAGTGTTTTTTGTATTGTATGGAACAAGGAATTTGTTCTTGTTCATTTATCTCATTAAAGAAGAAACAATTACAGAAATGCATATTAATGTAATGCACAGAATTGCCTACAGCATGAAAATAACATGCTAATTTGCCAGCATTCTACTATAGGGCATAATTAAACATTAAATGACATTTTAAATTCAAATCAGTTTGAAAAAAACACGGAAAAAGTTGAATTGGAGGTTTAACGCTCTAGCTGAAGTGAGTTGACGCTTAACTACTTCGTCATGAGGTTCTTCCCCAGCAATCAAGGTATTGCTCACAGATCCAATTACCCTGACATTGATCCGTAGAGGCATCAAGCCCCTGCACCACCCCACTGTACAGACAGAAGATCAATCTCGCTGATCTCGTATCTCCTGCATTGTTGACAGGGAGATAGTGGAAGAGGGGGAACTTTCAGATGTGAGATTAAAAGAGTGAGAATGGAGAAAAGAAGGGTGATGCGGGTTAGGAGCCGATGTTAAAAGAACCTTTAGTCTTGAAAAGGAAAGCGAAAAGAGTAAGGAAATGAAGGCAAAACTGAGTGAAAATGGAGCTGACCGAGAGTGAAATAAAGCAACCATCTCACTCAAATGCATTAGTTTCAGCGGCCAGTCGCTTGGAAGATGGATTTTAGTAAACATCCACCACAATGCTTCGGTAGCTAATCTTATAGGTTTTCCTCTCATTCACTGAATTTAAAAAAAATATTGACACAGAGGGACACAATCCAAATGACACTGACCCTCACACCACTGAATAGATTTATCTTCACAGTCTATGGATGGTGCCCTGAGGCTGAGAAACACTTAACACCAGAGCGACTCTGTTTACTGATTGTTCTGAGTTATTGATTAAGAGGTCAAGTGCGCCACACCACACTTACAGAGACTTTAATGGAAGTCAAAACTTAAGGGAGGCAGGTCAGCAACATTTGTGCTACATAAAGAAACCAATGAATCCATAAACATTGTAAAATTATTACAAAATATGCATGATGTGCATTTGTTATATTCAGGTCTGCAACTAACAGATATTGCCATTGTCGATTAATCTGAAAATACCGGTTTGCTCAATTAAATGTCAGAAAATAATGAAAAATGCCTATTACAATGTCCAACAGTGCAAGTTAATGCCTTCAAATGTCTTGTTTTGTCCTACCAACAGTTCATAATCCAACATAATCCAAAAATAATCAATTCACATTGTTTCACATTTCTGCCTGAAAATTGACAAGGAATTGAAGAGGTATTCCATCCATTTTGTATTACACTTCCTTAAGGTTGGGGGACTCGCATGAGAAAGACTAAAAAACTGGTTACAATTGAAGCAGCAGAAGCAGATACCCTGCCTTTTAGTCCAGGATCATGTTCCAAAAACTCTGGACCCTAAACTTCCCATAATGCAACATAACAGCGTTTTTCATTAGACCATCTCTGCCTCCTTAATATGCCCACTTCTTTAAAACCCCACACCTTTGCAACAACATTGTAATATAAGCAAACTGTTCAACTTCAGAAGTTTCATGTGATGGGAAAACTGAATTTTATCCATGGAATGGTCCTTTAAACTGCAACTGTAACAAACTGATCAGGAGCCCCAAAAGTTAGACCCAAACTCTGCTGCCTTACCTGGTCGAAGACTCATGGACTGAAGAATGTCGGTTAGATGGATGATAATGAAAACGGATGGCGAACGTTTGATGGCTCTTGAAATGGAGATGATTATGTAATGATTTCCAAGCCCCTGATGGACAGCATGATAAGAACACAAACATGAGAACATGGAAATGCATGTTTAAATACAGTCACAGTTCATAGACACATCAGTTTCAGACAAAATCGGTTTAACTGGCTGTAATAAGATGAGAACAGATAACAGTCGCATGCATTTTCTCAATGGAAATGAGGGCTTTTCATCATCCAAAGTATCTCATAATGCAGCAGAGAAACAAGCTTTTCATTTATGCAGATACAAATGCAACTTGTTTGCAAATTGTCTTTATTTTACCCTGACGTGTGTATGTGTACGTATGCAAGGCTGCCAAAACAATACAGTGTATAAGACCTGAACCTAAAAGTGAATGCACATGAGCCACTCTATGTTCAGTAAATTACAGCACAGCAGTGAAATACCTGGGGATAGATTATATAGTACTCTCACAAAACATACTTTCACAATCCAGACTTGGTGAAAGATGAAACCATGTGAGGATGCTGATGAGATGATGACATGGCAATGACCATGAATGGTTAATGATAATGAAGAAAAGGAAGCTCATCATTAGTTGATACAGTTTTGAAGTCTAGAAGTGCCGAAAGCGATCAATACAACAAACAAACAAAAATAAAAAGTCTCATCAAACACCAACTTTTCCCCCCCAAACCAAAAGTCCTCCTCCTCAGACAGAAAAACTAAACATCACAAACATGTCAGACCACAAGACGTACAATACACACAAGCCAAAGTTACTGTACCTGCCGCCCTCCCACTCCCCTCACCACACACCAACCCTCACCCCTCCCCCGTCCCCAACACAACCCTACCTGCTTATTTTTGAGGTCAAGCGAGAGCTCATAGTCGGAGGTGGCGGAGTGCGAGCCGGCCCCGTTGCGCTGCACCCTCAAGGGCGAGGCCGTGTGGTGCAGGCTGGCTCTCCTACCCGCCCCACCTCCTTTTGCTCCTCCCCCTTCCTCCTCCTCCTCCTCTTCTTCCTGTGCTGCCTCGGCCTCACGATGCTCGGCCTGTGCCTCCTCTCCCTCTTGCTTTGCCTCCACAACTTCTTCCGACTTTTCCTTCTCTTGCTCCCCCACTGTCTGCTCCTCTCTGCAAGGTGAAGGGGCTTTAGGGGTGTCCTGCGCTGCTTCCTTGCAAGGAGCCTCGACTTGGGGCTCAGGCTCAGGCTCAGGCTCAGGCTCAGGCTCGGGTTCGGGTTCGGGTTCGGGTTCAGGTTCGGGTTCAGGTTCGGGTTGGGGCTCGGGCTCAGGCTCTGCCGCAGGCTGGGGTTTTGGTTCGGGTTCTGGCTGAGGTTTGGTTTCGGGCTGGGGCTGAGGTTGAGTCTGTGGTTGGGGCTCCGACTGTGGCTGTGGCTGTGGTGGTTGAGTCTGTGGCTGAGTCTCTTGCTGCTGGGGCTGTGGTTGTGGTTGTGACTCGACCTCACTCTGCAGCTCCCCCTCTCCTCCCTTCCCTTCCTCCCCCAAAGACGAGTCTGGAGAAAGGTCATCGCTGCAGAAAGGAGGAGAAAACGCAGAGTGAGGTTGCTGCTGCATCCGTGGTGAGCTCTGACCTCTTCTCCAGGCTGCCTGGGTTAGTGGTAAGAAGTTGACCCTTTTTTTTTTTTTTTTTGTATGATCTCACTCAATCTGCTACCAACTGTGTGCAGGGCCAGTTCATCTGTCTACCTGCTCTGTTCTGTCTGCTTCTCTTGTCTGTCTACACACTGACAGACAATGAAACGCAGGCAAAACGTACAGCACAGAACAGCTGACAAAAACCACAGTGCACAGGAGTGAAAAAAAAAAGATCAAAAGCGATTATTTATTTCAGAAATCTTCAGGAGAGAAAGTGTGAAAAAAACAAGGACGTTGACAGCCAATAGTGACACACACCCAACGCACACACACAAACATGGGGGGGGGGGAGACTGTCATGCAGCTAATACAAATGTCTTTTAAACTATATTTGCGCTTGTATATGTGCGAACAGTTGCATGTATGAGTGTTAGTGTGGGAGGTGGCAGTTTATGGTGTAATAACAACAAGAGGTGCGACTTGAAGCACAGAGGGGAGGTGGGAATCTGTGTTTTGGTTCCATTTGTGTCTGAAGACCGGCTAGACCCCCTTCTTTCTTCTTTTATGAGCCCCCTTTTTTTTTTTCCTGTGGTGCAGTTTAAGTCCAAGGAAGATTGGTTAGCTTCTTTGTCAGCTGCTGAATAAACGTCTGACCCTGCAGCTCAGGCTCTACAGATTAAAAGCTAAAGCTGTAGTGACGACACATAAGAATTCTTTCGTATGTAAGCATGCTAACATTTGATAATTAACACAAAGTATAGCTGAGGCTAATGGGAATGTCATTAGTTTCTTATGTATTGAAATTGTAACCTGATAAAGTTAAGGGATCACCGTCATCATTACTCATCACAACTCAACTCATGAATGTTTCTACCAAATATTCATGGAGATCTATTCAATAGTTTTTCTGACATTACACTCAAAATCACAAAAGTTTAACTCACGGTGGTACTAGATGAAAGGTCAGGGCACCACCAAAGTCCGCAGGATTCATCCTCTGGGGACCATGAATGTCTGTACAATATGTTAGTAGACGCTGAGATATTTCACTGGATAAATTTAAAACTTTGACCTGCTGGTGGCGCTAGATAAAATGGCAGAGGATTACTAAATGTATTACGTTGCATCCTCTAAGCACCATGAATGCGTGTGCAAAATTTTATGACCTAAAATATACTGTAATACCTTTTATGAAGAAAAAGCAACATCTGACTAATAAATTATTAATGCTCAGATTTAACGCTGCATCCTGCTCAGGTTTCTTCCTCAGCATTGTCACAGTTGTTAAGTACTGCTACACACCATTCACAAGGGCATCAGGTATCAGCAGATTTTCCCATCGATCACTTCATCTATCGTTCTATCATCTTGAATTTGAGCACTAGTTGTCAGTGGTTGTGACAACAGCTCGGCATGATACTACCCAGTTTGTATATGGTGATAAGACTGGAGTCAGTGAGCATAAAATCAGGACATTCAGGCTGCCATATGCAGAGTGCTGGAGAAGAAAACCGGCATGATTCTCCCCAGAGGGGTAAGAGGCTTCAGAGAGACGACAAACTTTCAGCTGCTGCAATCTGTGTATTTGAAGAAGTTGCAGGGACAAGTGCAAAGAATGTAACCCCCTTACATATCCGCCAAATGTATGTGTCTATTTGTGGCTAAACTTTGCTATTTTATATAAATGTCCGGAGTGTGTTTTGTGTGTACAAAGCCTTACATCTTAAAAAAAAAAGATCCAAACAGATTTGTGAGCAGCAAAAATCCTGTCTGCTCCCTCTTCCTGCATCGGCTCCCTTCTCATTTTCATCACACATGGCAGCGCATAAGCTTGAAGAGAAAGTATCTTTAGTGGGGGATATAGCTGGGTCCGCAGCTTCTAAAATAGAGCTCGTATGAGTAATGAATAATGAATGGAGAAATAACGTCTGCTGCTTCGACGCTCAGCTGCAGGTGAGCTTTTTTTTCATATGCGAAAAATAGACCTGCCTGGAAAAACAGAAAGACTTCTTTTAGGAGGAGAATGCAGCCTACCATCTCTGCTCACAATGCTTCCGCTCACTGTTGTGAATCTAAATGCAGCCTCCCCCGATTTGCATTTTGCAGGAGCACTTGTTCTGCTGAGAGATAATCTGACGACCAATAGGCTAACGTGGGGCTGGATTTAAGTCTAAATTCCGATAAGGAAACCCCCCAAAAAAAGTTACACACACTGTGGATAAAGTTCTCAAAAGGGATTATTTGTGAGGGGAGACGGTAAATAAATCACCATGAGCGCAGTCACTGGTAACATAATATATGCATGTGTGTATATTTATGTAAAGCACGAGAGTTATTGTAAACAACTCCAACCTCTAAGTCTGTCACCCCGTCTCTGCATAGCAACTTTTCTCATCCTCATTCCTGTCATCCATTCCTGTCATCCTCTCTGTCCAACCGTCTATTCCTGCCACTCCGTCCTGAACCAGGTAAGGAGATTGAGCGGTTCCAGGTGTCAACGTGACTGACGAGGCGGAGACAAGCCCTGGATGCCTCCCCTCTCTACCTCTCATCATCCCATGCGTCAGTACTGAAGACGGATGAGCGCTGCGGCCTCCGTGCGTTCCATCCGGAATATAATTACGGTGTCCGCTGACGTCTCCTGCTCTCTCTGCCATGATTGCTAACAGGCTGGTACTGTAGTGTGATCTGAGTTCAGGTGTGTGTGGTGGTGGTAGGCGTTGTTTATTTAGTGTATCACACAGGCAACGAGTTGCAATACCATATACCAGCAAATGTCCATTAGTTTAACATTAATCGAGGAACCTATATTAAGTTCTTTTAACTTTTGGCTGGACACAATTTCTATACGTGCTGTCATTTTGCAGCATTGCAGGGATGTGAAACAATCTATATTTATACTGACTATGTGTGAGTGTAGTGTGCTCTCACAAGCACTTTTGCTTTCTCTGTGTGCGTGTGTGTATAAGAACAGATAAGTAAGTAAAATCTAAATGTAAAAATATTCCATTACGTTATGGAAGTAAAAGTCCAGCTTATTATCAGCAAAATGTGCAACTATCGGCAGGACAAAATTTGTCTGTGCCTTAAAATAAAACATTAGAAATTACTGTTGAAAAATAAAAATCCACTCTATGATGTGACAACACTATGGGTTAAGGTTTGGTTTAAGGAAAATGGTTTGAGTTAAAATAATAAAATACTTTGTTAATGGAGTTTTGTCACTTGAACATATGAAGTTTTTGGACACGTGGTGAAACAACAGCTGAATTCTTCTTTAAATGCAGTTTGGTAGTTTAGACCACAAGACTGCGTTAACCATGGTTACCAGGTGGCCAGTCATTTGCAATCGTACCAAAACTCATCTCATTGGCAATGGCAAAAGCATTCTTTTTTTTCTGTTTTGGTCTTGACTCTGTTTCTCTCATTTGGACTCTTGACTTAGACTCACGCCTCTTTGGACTTGGTCTTGACTACACAAACGTGGTCTTGGACAAATTCTTCTCTAATAATTTTGAACAATTATTTCAACCGTTTGTAGTTTCTCTCTTGAGTGGCTCAGATGCGCTTGTGCTCCTTTTTTGGAGCACCAGCAAAAGAACATTGAGGAGACGCTGTATTCTTTCCATCCTTATCATTTATTTCTGTCGCAGAGAGAAAGGAAGCAAAAGGGCAGCAACAGAGACATCTGAGAAAGACAGTATTCAGTTCTTCTGGCGTGATCTATCACATTGTTCACCGACATTTTGGCTATTTGTTGGAACCAAGAAATTACCAAAAAAGATGCAATAATGTTTGAACCTGTGGAGCAGGATAAGCTACCTGTGGCTCCAGAGCTCTTAAGGCCCACTCCAGTGGCTCTCTGTGGCTTTGACAAAAAAAAGACATGGGAATTTCCTTTTTACCACCAATACTGCTGGCTTACCAGTATGCTTGATCTGCATATAGTGCTATAAGGCTCAAACGTGTTTTGCAGATCCAGACCAAAGATTGCTCTTTCAGTACTAAAAGGTACTGACCCCTGCTGTGGAGGTATAAATTCAAGTGTATAATTATTGTCTCATGTGCTATATACAGTATGTTGGCAATGCTGCTCTTTCTCACACAGCAGCCTGAGATGTGAGTGTGTTTTGGCTTAAAGGAATATTTTTGACATTTTAGTTAATAAGTAACCAGTTGCCAGGAAGTTTCTGGTCCCAGCCAAGACACAGTTTGGCACATTAGCTTCAAAGGTGTTGGTAAACTTTATGCTAAGCTAAATGGTTGCTGGCTGTAGCTTCACATTTAATGGGGAACAGATGTTCAGAAGTACGACTGCATATGTTAAAAACAAAGTGTGTACCAGACCTCTGTGGCAACATTTTTGCTTCAAGCTAGAGAATAAGCATTTAAGCTTTCATTTCCCACAATGTCATACTATTCCTTTAAATATAATATTATGTATCCCTTTTAAAAATGAAGGCCTAAATAGACAGATGTCTATCCTTCAACTGAAGTGGTTCCAAGAGTAAAATACGTAAGTAATAAGTAAAATAAGTTAAATCCCGGTGCTGACTACATCTGTTGCACTGTAAAGGTGATGACATCTGACAGGAAGACCACCATCTTTATGCAGGAGGTCCACTGATTATGTCTTCAGCGTGAACTCAGCCACTGTGGGCTGCTTCGACTTTCATTACTTTCATTAACCTTGATCGCAGAGCTTTTGCTGCATCATCACCGTGTAGGTGTGCAGCAGCAGAGATGAGACATCAGCCCGTGTGACTTGTGGGGTTCAAAGGGTCTATCCTCTGGTGGACTGCAGCCAAAGAGTTGCTGAAGAGGGCATTATGTGAGGAAAACCGCATCAGCAGAAGTCATAGCAAATGAGATCCCCAAAGAAGCGAGTCGCTGCCATCATTTCCTGCTCGAGAAAGTAGTTTTCTTCCAATTTTA